GAATCAACTCCAAGACGATAGAACAAAGTATGGTGAGCGAAAACTTTATACACCTTCGTGTCGACTCCAACGTATCTAACAATGAAATTGACTACAAAGCAAATGAGGTTGACAATGTGAAACATGTTAACATCAACTCAGATTCCAACGTGGTTGACAATGTGAGACGTGTTAACATCGACTCAAGATCCAGCATGTCTGCAAAAGACGATGTGCTTGGCAATGAGACAGATGGTAACATCAACTCAAATTCAAATGTGTTGGACAATGCAAACGTGAACAACAGATTAAAACGCTTACACCTTTAAGGTTGCAATGGAGAGAGCACAAAGAGAATCAACTCCAAGACGATAGAACACAGTATGGTGAGCGAAAACTTTATACACCTTCGTGTCGACTCCAACGTATCGAACAATGAAATTGACTACAAAGCAAATGAGGTTGACAATGTGAAACATGTTAACATCAACTCAGATTCCAACGTGGTTGACAATGTGAGACGTGTTAACATCGACTCAAGATCCAGCATGTTTGTAAAAGACGATGTGTTTGGCAATGAGTCACATGGTAACATCAACTCAAATTCAAATGTGTTGGACAATGCAAACGTGACTAACAGATTAAAACGCTTACACCTTTAATTTTGCAATGGAGAGAGCACAAAGAGAATCAACTCCAAGACGATAGAACACAGTATGGTGAGCGAAAACTTTATACACCTTCGTGTCGACTCCAACGTATCTAACAATGAAATTGACTACAAAGCAAATGAGGTTGACAATGTGAAACATGTTAACATCAACTCAGATTCCAACGTGGTTGACAATGTGAGACGTGTTAACATCGACTCAAGATCCAGCATGTCTGCAAAAGACGATGTGCTTGGCAATGAGACAGATGGTAACATCAACTCAAATATGTTGGACAATGCAAACGTGAACAACAGATTAAAACGCTTACACCTTTAAGGTTGCAATGGAGAGAGCACAAAGAGAATCAACTCCAAGACGATAGAACAAAGTATGGTGAGCGAAAACTTTATACACCTTCGTGTCGACTCCAACGTATCTAACAATGAAATTGACTACAAAGCAAATGAGGTTGACAATGTGAAACATGTTAACATCAACTCAGATTCCAACGTGGTTGACAATGTGAGACGTGTTAACATCGACTCAAGATCCAGCATGTCTGCAAAAGACGATGTGCTTGGCAATGAGACAGATGGTAACATCAACTCAAATTCAAATGTGTTGGACAATGCAAACGTGAACAACAGATTAAAACGCTTACACCTTTAAGGTTGCAATGGAGAGAGCACAAAGAGAATCAACTCCAAGACGATAGAACACAGTATGGTGAGCGAAAACATTATACACCTTCGTGTCGACTCCAACGTATCTAACAATGAAATTGACTACAAAGCAAATGAGGTTGACAATGTGAAACATGTTAACATCAACTCAGATTCCAACGTGGTTGACAATGTGAGACGTGTTAACATCGACTCAAGATCCAGCATGTTTGTAAAAGACGATGTGTTTGGCAATGAGTCACATGGTAACATCAACTCAAATATGTTGGACAATGCAAACGTGAACAACAGATTAAAACGCTTACACCTTTAAGGTTGCAATGGAGAGAGCACAAAGAGAATCAACTCCAAGACGATAGAACAAAGTATGGTGAGCGAAAACTTTATACACCTTCGTGTCGACTCCAACGTATCTAACAATGAAATTGACTACAAAGCAAATGAGGTTGACAATGTGAAACATGTTAACATCAACTCAGATTCCAACGTGGTTGACAATGTGAGACGTGTTAACATCGACTCAAGATCCAGCATGTCTGCAAAAGACGATGTGCTTGGCAATGAGACAGATGGTAACATCAACTCAAATTCAAATGTGTTGGACAATGCAAACGTGAACAACAGATTAAAACGCTTACACCTTTAAGGTTGCAATGGAGAGAGCACAAAGAGAATCAACTCCAAGACGATAGAACACAGTATGGTGAGCGAAAACATTATACACCTTCGTGTCGACTCCAACGTATCTAACAATGAAATTGACTACAAAGCAAATGAGGTTGACAATGTGAAACATGTTAACATCAACTCAGATTCCAACGTGGTTGACAATGTGAGACGTGTTAACATCGACTCAAGATCCAGCATGTTTGCAAAAGACGATGTGTTTGGCAATGAGTCACATGGTAACATCAACTCAAATTCAAATGTGTTGGACAATGCAAACGTGAACAACAGATTAAAACGCTTACACCTTTAAGGTTGCAATGGAAAGAGCACAAAGAGAATCAACTCCAAGACGATAGAACAAAGTATGGTGAGCGATAACTTTATACACCTTCGTGTCGACTCCAACGTATCTAACAATGAAATTGACTACAAAGCAAATGAGGTTGACAATGTGAAACATGTTAACATCAACTCAGATTCCAACGTGGTTGACAATGTGAGACGTGTTAACATCGACTCAAGATCCAGCATGTCTGCAAAAGACGATGTGCTTGGCAATGAGACAGATGGTAACATCAACTCAAATATGTTGGACAACGCAAACGTGAACAACAGATTAAAACGCTTACACCTTTAAGGTTGCAATGGAAAGAGCACAAAGAGAATCAACTCCAAGACGAAAGAACAAAGTATGGTGAGCGAAAACTTTATACACCTTCGTGTCGACTCCAACGTATCTAACAATGAAATTGACTACAAAGCAAATGAGGTTGACAATGTGAAACATGTTAACATCAACTCAGATTCCAACGTGGTTGACAATGTGAGACGTGTTAACATCGACTCAAGATCCAGCATGTTTGCAAAAGACGATGTGTTTGGCAATGAGTCACATGGTAACATCAACTCAAATTCAAATGTGTTGGACAATGCAAACGTGAACAACAGATTAAAACGCTTACACCTTTAAGGTTGCATTGGAAAGAGCACAAAGAGAATCAACTCCAAGACGATAGAACAAAGTATGGTGAGCGAAAACTTTATACACCTTCGTGTCGACTCCAACGTATCTAACAATGAAATTGACTACAAAGCAAATGAGGTTGACAATGTGAAACATGTTAACATCAACTCAGATTCCAACGTGGTTGACAATGTGAGACGTGTTAACATCGACTCAAGATCCAGCATGTCTGCAAAAGACGATGTGCTTGGCAATGAGACAGATGGTAACATCAACTCAAATATGTTGGACAACGCAAACGTGAACAACAGATTAAAACGCTTACACCTTTAAGGTTGCAATGGAAAGAGCACAAAGAGAATCAACTCCAAGACGATAGAACAAAGTATGGTGAGCGAAAACTTTATACACCTTCGTGTCGACTCCAACGTATCTAACAATGAAATTGACTACAAAGCAAATGAGGTTGACAATGTGAAACATGTTAACATCAACTCAGATTCCAACGTGGTTGACAATGTGAGACGTGTTAACATCGACTCAAGATCCAGCATGTCTGCAAAAGACGATGTGCTTGGCAATGAGACAGATGGTAACATCAACTCAAATTCAAATGTGTTGGACAATGCAAACGTGAACAACAGATTAAAACGCTTACACCTTTAAGGTTGCAATGGAGAGAGCACAAAGAGAATCAACTCCAAGACGATAGAACACAGTATGGTGAGCGAAAACTTTATACACCTTCGTGTCGACTCCAACGTATCGAACAATGAAATTGACTACAAAGCAAATGAGGTTGACAATGTGAAACATGTTAACATCAACTCAGATTCCAACGTGGTTGACAATGTGAGACGTGTTAACATCGACTCAAGATCCAGCATGTTTGCAAAAGACGATGTGTTTGGCAATGAGTCACATGGTAACATCAACTCAAATTCAAATGTGTTGGACAATGCAAACGTGACCAACAGATTAAAACGCTTACACCTTTAATTTTGCAATGGAGAGAGCACAAAGAGAATCAACTCCAAGACGATAGAACACAGTATGGTGAGCGAAAACTTTATACACCTTCGTGTCGACTCCAACGTATCTAACAATGAAATTGACTACAAAGCAAATGAGGTTGACAATGTGAAACATGTTAACATCAACTCAGATTCCAACGTGGTTGACAATGTGAGACGTGTTAACATCGACTCAAGATCCAGCATGTCTGCAAAAGACGATGTGCTTGGCAATGAGACAGATGGTAACATCAACTCAAATTCAAATGTGTTGGACAATGCAAACGTGAACAACAGATTAAAACGCTTACACCTTTAAGGTTGCAATGGAGAGAGCACAAAGAGAATCAACTCCAAGACGATAGAACACAGTATGGTGAGCGAAAACATTATACAACTTCGTGTCGACTCCAACGTATCTAACAATGAAATTGACTACAAAGCAAATGAGGTTGACAATGTGAAACATGTTAACATCAACTCAGATTCCAACGTGGTTGACAATGTGAGACGTGTTAACATCGACTCAAGATCCAGCATGTCTGCAAAAGACGATGTGCTTGGCAATGAGACAGATGGTAACATCAACTCAAATTCAAATGTGTTGGACAATGCAAACGTGAACAACAGATTAAAACGCTTACACCTTTAAGGTTGCAATGGAGAGAGCACAAAGAGAATCAACTCCAAGACGATAGAACACAGTATGGTGAGCGAAAACTTTATACACCTTCGTGTCGACTCCAACGTATCGAACAATGAAATTGACTACAAAGCAAATGAGGTTGACAATGTGAAACATGTTAACATCAACTCAGATTCCAACGTGGTTGACAATGTGAGACGTGTTAACATCGACTCAAGATCCAGCATGTTTGCAAAAGACGATGTGTTTGGCAATGAGTCACATGGTAACATCAACTCAAATTCAAATGTGTTGGACAATGCAAACGTGACCAACAGATTAAAACGCTTACACCTTTAATTTTGCAATGGAGAGAGCACAAAGAGAATCAACTCCAAGACGATAGAACACAGTATGGTGAGCGAAAACTTTATACACCTTCGTGTCGACTCCAACGTATCTAACAATGAAATTGACTACAAAGCAAATGAGGTTGACAATGTGAAACATGTTAACATCAACTCAGATTCCAACGTGGTTGACAATGTGAGACGTGTTAACATCGACTCAAGATCCAGCATGTCTGCAAAAGACGATGTGTTTGGCAATGAGTCACATGGTAACATCAACTCAAATTCAAATGTGTTGGACAATGCAAACGTGATCAACAGATTAAGACACTTACACTTTAAAGGTTGCAATGCAGTGTTATAATAGGTCATAGAATAATGTATTTAGTATAATATAGTTATATTTGAGTTTGCTGGATCACATGACAATCCCACAAAAAGATTCAGCCAAATACTTGGTATTGGCTTGGTATGCACCTTGATTCTCGCCTTAATTAGAAACATCATGTCCGCCAGAAGAAATTGCAAATAAAAGAAAAAATGCGCAAGCTGTACTGGCTAGTTGGTAGACATTCCACACTAGACCTGGCAAACAGACGGCTTCTATATATAGATATTATCAAACCGATCTGGACTTATGGCATACAACTGTCGGGCTGTGCCAGCAAATCCATCATCGAAGTCATTCAACGCTGTCAGAATATTTCCCTTCGTACCATTGTCGCGGCATACCGGTTCGACAGGAATGAAATCATTCATCGAGAATTGAGTATACCATCTATCGAGGACGAAATTAAAAAGTTTGCCAATAAACATGCGAAAAAACTTGAGTTGCACCCAAATGCAACTGCTAAACAAATTCTTCACAATTCGCAAGACATTAGGCGCCTCAAACATCTGAAGCCATATGACTTAGTTTAATTAACTTAGGCTAAGAAAAGGGGCTATCTCAGTGGAGGTACAACCCCAAACATGTTCTTGTATAATATATATATATATGTATATATAAGTAATTATTATTGTATAATACTACTTATGTATTACTGTTATTATAGGTACTGTATTCACCCACAATGCATTATATTTATAAAGACTTATGGTCGTTTAAATAAAGATGCCTTAGGCAGTTAAAAAAAAAAAATATATTTGAGTTCAAATTGTTTCTTAAAGGCTCAATAACAGAGAGCGGGCTGCCATGGTGTACGGGTACACTGACCGTGGCGGTTCGGTTGTATTGTTTTACAATGTCCGCGCTATTTGACTGAGGCTTTATTACTTTGGAAAATTACTCTACTAGATTTGTTGATTGTTTCAATGAGGAAACTATTTATTTATAAATTTCAACTATTTTTAGATTCTGAGCGGAGCGATGAATGTATTTATTTTACAATGATTTTTATTTTCTTATTTTTGTGTCTGTGTACACGATAAGTTGTCGAAAAAATGCTTCGAATTTCGACTTCAGTATCTTGTTCGATGGGAAAGTGAATATTGTTGGTGCATTGAGGAGGTCAAAATTTAAAATTCCTATTTATTTTCAAAAGCGCCTGGAAAAACAACATAAAAATTAAAGAAAAGAGGAAATTTTTACTCAAAATCGGTTTTTCACAAAATCGATTTTGGTTTATCGTTTAACACCTAAAACAAATGAACTTATAAACATGAAATTTTCACCGGTCGTTTATATTTGCATTTTCTATACACGTCACACGATACAATTTTTAAAATATTTTAATTTGTTTTGAACTGTTAAGGAACATTTTCTGTTTCCATTTGTATTAGTCCCTTTTTCTACGAATGTCGATAAAACTTTATTCGTTATATAAAAAAGCTTGAAAATTTAATACAAGGCTAATACTATATTATTACAATGATATTTGAAAAATATTAAAAATCCTTAGTCACAGTTTTTAGTTATAAGCATGTAAAGTTTAAATCTTGATAAAATACGGAAAAATCACAAAAATTGAAAATTGTTTTGAGTTGAGAATTCATAAAAATATTTCTTTTTAAATCTAAGATCTGAAAATGTAATACAAGATTCCTCATAAGTTTGTCTACATTTATCAAAAATGTCTACAAGCAAATCAAATTACATTTTTATGATCGTTTGAAATTCATATTTTTACAATATGAATATCCAATTCACTCAATTTCTCATGTAGCGGTTTTGTTATTTTTGAAAATATTTTGACTCTTGTCAAACTCTTGCTGTTTACGGACATTGTCAGTTTTCAATTTTTTTAGTTTTTTTTTTTCTATAAATATCAATAAAATTGTATTTGTTAGGTAAAAATCATGAAAATTAAATGCGAGGCTCCTGATATATTGTTATAATATCAGTTGAAAAATATTAAAAATACATAGGCACAATTTTTTTTTATTAGCATTGAAAGTACAAATTTTAACAAAATTTAATAATTATTTTGTAGTTAAAAATTTATAAAATGTTAAACTTTTATAGCTAAGGATTGAAAATTTAAAACAAGGTCCCACATAAATATAAGTAAATATATAAATTAATTTATTCACAATAATACCTATCATCAAATATATAGTAATATCATAGGCTGACTGACCTTTTTAGCTCAGAAACGTTTTTCATATACAATGATATTATATCATTGAATTAAAATTTAATGCCATCCATTTTACAGTGACCCACTTGAAACCTACTGTACAGCAGAGCGACATCCACTTACCCGCCTTTTTATTGATAAGATTTATGCTGTTGCTTTTGATATTATGTGAGTATAAAATATGTATCCAAGATTTAAAAATATAATACAGGATTCCTCACAAGTTCTTCAAATATCTAACGGGAAGTCAAATTAAATTTTGATGAGCATTTGAAGTTCAATTTTTTGCTACATTGAATAACCGCGGATACTTACAAATTACATCATATGAATATGTTTATTTTATAATTTTCAATATTTTATAACATTTTCAAAATATTTAGAATCGTTTCGAATTGTTTACAGACATTTACAATTTTAATTTTAGATTCTGAGTGAAACGATGAATGTATTGATTTTACAATGATGTGTGTTTTTTTTTTTTTTTTTTTTATTTTTTTTTTTTTTGTGTCTGTGTACACGATAAGTAGTCGAAATAATGCTTCGATTTTCGACTTCAGTATCTTGTTCGATTGGAAAGTGAATATCGTTGGTGCATTGGGGAGGTCAAAATTTAAAATTCCCAATAGTTTTCACAAGCGCCGGGAAAAAACAACATAAAAATTAAGGAAAAACGGGAATTTTTACGCAAAATCAGTTTTTGACAAAATCGAATTTGGTTTTTGGTGTAACTTTAAAACAAATGACCGTAGATACATGAAATTTTCACTGGTTGTTTATATTTGCATTTTCTATACACGATAAAATTTTCAAAATATTTTGATTTATTTTGAACTGTTTAGGGACATTTTCATTTTCCATTTTTTTTTAGTTTTTTTTCTAAAAATATCAATAAAATTGTATTTGTTGGTTGCGAAAGCTTGAAAATTTAATAGAAGGCTCCTAATATGTTGTTTCAAAGGCAGATGAAAAATATTAAAAATCCTTAGTCACAATTTTTTTTTATAAGCATTTAAAGTTCAAAAATTGACAAAATATGGAAAAATCACGAAAATTAGCAAATTATTTTGAGTTAAGAATTCGTAAAAATTTTTCTTTTTAAATCTAAGATTTGAAAATGAAACACAAGATTCCTTATAAGATTATCTACCTTTATCAATAAAAAAATCTCTACCGGACAGTCAAATTAAATTTTTATGAGCGTTTGAAATTCAAATTTTTACAACATTGGATTTTCACTCGATTACTCATGTAGCGATTTCCTTATTTTGTTGCAATTCAAAAACGAACAACTGTAGATACATGAAAATTTCACTGAATGTTTAAATTAGCATTTTCTATACACCATACAATTTTGAAAATATTTTGACTCTTTTTGAGCTGTTTATGGACATTTACAGCTTTCAATTTTTTTTAGTTTTTTTTTCTACAAATATCAATAAAGTTTTATCTGTTGGGCCAAAAAGTGTAAAAATTTAATACAAGGCTCCTGATATATTGTTACAATAGCAGTTGAAAAATATTAAAAATACATAGGCACAGTTTTTTTTTATAAGCATTTAAAGATCGAATTTTGACAGAATTTTTCAAAATCTCGAAAATTATTAATCATCGTAATTAATAAATTCTAAAATGTTCAGTTTTTATAGCTAAGGATTGAAAATTTAAAACAAGATTCTACGTAAGTAGTTAATTCTCTTACCGAAAAATCTAAAAAATATACAATCACAGTTTATTTTTATAGTCATTTTATGTTCAAATTTGGACGAAATTACATATTAAAAAACCTAGTTATTTTGTTGTGATTATATAATATTATTCGTGGGTACCTACTTGAAACTTCTAAAGTGTACTATTATATATCAATGATAGTATCAGGGTTTGTAATTGATCTTGATGTATAACGTGTTATAAGTACCTAATGGATATTGTGATAATGTGATATGATTAATTTGGAATTTATTATAGGTCAATTTTTTTTTTAATACCATAGATATGTATATAATTTGTCTTAAACCTAGACTGACATACCGTCTTCGCTCAGAATCGTTTTTCTTATACAATGATATTGTACCATTGAATTCAAATTTAATACCATCCATTATACAGTGACCCACTTGTAACCTACAGTACAGCAGAGCGACATCCACTTACCCACCTTTTTTTAGTTTTTTTTCTATAAATGTCAATAAAATTGTATTCTTTAGGGTTAAAATGCTCAATTAAATTGAACTAGTGCACAATTTTTAATAATTTTGTTGTTGTTTCAAAAATGAAAACTCATAAATGAGATAGGTATTTGTATTCAAAGTCACATAATTTATAACAATGAAACTTGCATAAAATATTTAAATGAAAGGGAACTAGTAACTACCTATATTACATAAAAAAATGGATCGTAGCGACCAGCCAAGTATTCCACTCCCACGAGATCTTCCATCAAAATACTTATAATATACTGTTTTTTTTTTAAATATTTCCTGTATGCAATAATCTCAAAATAGTAAATAATACAATTATATCGTATAGTATTATATTATAGGTGCTAAAGTTGTACGTATATATTTTTAACTAGCTGAATTACCCGTCGTTGCCGGGTTTAAGTATAAAAATGTATGTAATCTGACAAGATTAAATATTGTTTATTCTATTTAAATATAGACATCAGGAGTGTATCATTCATAGCCGCCGCTTGGTTTATTTTTTGGGGTAAGTGTAGAACGTTCACACAACCATTCCATAGGCTTATCATGAATATTAGCAACATCTGGATTCTGGATACATTTTTGATATTAAATCCTGAACCGTACTTACAACTGTGCACACATTTTCTGGGATGAACAATTTTTTGTATCGTTTATCAAACGTTTTCGTCACACGTGTTTCTTAGGTACCTACGTTAAATAAAATATTTGCTCTTTACAAAAAAACCCAAACACGGAAAAATCCGAATTCCAAATACAAACTGGATTCTACGAAAAATAAAATCTCAATTAACACTTTGAGTGCCATGTGTATCAATTTCAATACACAACTAATATGTTGATTTGTGCCGTGTGTATTGATAATAATACACAGTTATATGGTAGACACGTTATAAAAAAAATGTCCCGGTCAGAATGGTCAGTTTTGTCATTTTTGGCCTGGCACTCAAAGTGTTAAATAACTAATCCGGCAGTAAGCCGTCTTACGTTACACCACAGAATATAACACTTTTATTTGTACGATATCCTTTTTATACATTCAGAGCTCAAGTATAAATTATTAATGTTGATACCGGTCGTAAAATCGAATAGCTGGGCTATCGCTACGTAACGACGACGAAAACGTTTGCTGTAATTTACAGCACGACACAGATTTTGTATCGATTAGTATCGTTTATCAAGCGTTTCCGTCACGAGCACGGGTGCAGCTATAAATATAGAGTAGTATGTAGGTAGTGTGGAGGTTAACGAAAGCATGTATCGTACCTCCAACTTATTGTTTTGTTTTGAGAAGAATATAACACATTGAATTTGATTTAGATGTTTGTTTATGAGCCGAAGCCCGAAAGTGTTAGTTATGACGGAGTGAAGAGGCCAAGAGGGGGCCGGTTGTGCTATGGTAACGACGATGTTATGTTGTCTCCGAGGCCGAACAATGTCGGCGAAAGTAGAGTGCGACGTTTTGTCTCGGTGCCGGTCGTCGGGAGACCAAAAAGGGCACGGGCGTACGAGATGGCGCGACTGCGTCGTTGCCGCGTCGAATATCGTTCGTTCAGTCGTGCACTCGTGCCGCCCGGAGGCTCAGGACTATGGATTCAATCGCGAGCTGATCTGGAGCGGTACGTGCGTGTACTGTGTACATTGAGAGTCGTTACCAAAGAGAGCGGCCCGGGCCCGGCACGCCTAGACATCCGTGGAGAAGCCGCGACATGACGGACGCGGGTCGGCGGCGATCGGATGGCTCACCACATTAGTCATGATAATATTAATAATTACTACCCATTTATACTACAACTATACAGAAATATAGTGATTGGTATATTTTGATTTGTATACGTGCATAGTACGTATTAGCGCGTTGTCCGCGGTAGCACCGTTGTCGTTTTTACGATAGAGTTATAGTTATTGGTATAGTGTATAAATATTTTCAATATAGAATACCTACGTATTAAATAATTAACAATGTATTGAATAGACACTACTGCGTAGGTACAATATATTATACGATGTCAGATTAAGGTAAAGTAGTAGACGACAGGCGTACAGCATTTACACAACAGGCGAATACAACGTGTGTAACAGTGAAACTGTGAAAGATAAATAAAACTTCAGTCCAGTGTTCACTGTTCACGACGCTCACGTCTTCCCGAGTCGAGCGGCGAGCACAGCTACTCCGCGCTGACGGTGTCGACGACGCGCAACGTCCGTTCACGTTCGTGTGGGTGGGGGAGGGGGGTAGATACTAGATATTATGGGATTGTCGGCGGCGGGTTTATTACGACCAAAATATATTTCAGTATTTTTATTGTGAAAACAACAGCGACGCATTAGGAGGACGTGATACCCGCATGTGTTGTCTCCGTCTTACAAGTGCTTAACATTGCAAATTATACGCAAAGCAGAACACGTGTAGCTCCGTTAGCTTAAAAATTAGAGTAAATTGACCTCTTATAAAATCTAATTGTGAGATTATTATCTAGACAATCTCATGAGCTTTTTATTATACTTTAATTTTGAAGAGAGTTATAATAGTACTTTAAAATGTACAAACAATTTACAATTTTAAAATAGTCATAGCTCGCTTTAAAATTAAAATATAATGAAAAGCCCATGAGGTTGTCTAGATAATAAACTTACCTTTAGATTTTATAAGAGGTCAATTTACTCTAAATTTAAGCTAACGAAGCTTCAAGTATTCTGCTTTGCGTATAATTTGCTATGTTATGCACTTGTAAGACGAAGACAACACATGGATATCAGTATATCACGTCCTCGTAAGGACCTGCAAACTTGCGTAATTTTTGTTCGTTTAGATCAATAAGTGAAAGTGAATTAAACATACTTTCTGTGGTCCGGTCCGACACCTTTTCTATTATGTCCTAGAATTGTAGACAAATAGTCCAGACAACAACGAATGCATGTACATTCATTAAAATCGAACTTCAGGAAGAATCCTTAATTTACTTAATTAGTAGGGCTCAGATTTTGTAGCAAATGCTTCTTTTGAGGGAAGTGTGATAGAAAGATAATTCTTATATATAAATACGTTTTAAATCGTTCTGATTTTAATGAAGTAAACTTTTTTCAAAAAAAATTTTGCCTTTTTCCACAAAATCTGCTTTTATTGCTTTTCCCCCTATTTGGTTATTTTTTCTTGATTTTTACATATTTTTCTTGAAAACTTAGCTTATCTCTATGTATATTATACGTCTTGGACTATATTATTATTACCAGAAATTATAAAACCAGTGAAAAACCAGTAATAAATATGTGACTGATAAAATAACTATCGTTATTGTGCCGAAATAGTTTTATCTACAATTATCTATTGTTGTATTTACGACTCAAGGAAAGAGAAAATTATCTGAATTATACCTACGTATTTTAAAATATTTTACATTTTTTCAGTTGAATATTATGAATTTGTAAACCAGTAGGTACCTACAAATATTAAAACTTACCTCCAATACAATTACCAATTGTATTTTCCTTTTGTGGTATGCAAACACTAGAAAGTTACATAGATATTACAATTGATTTTACTTTTTTTGGAGTTCAATCAAATAATATTGAAAATTTACTGTTGTACGATGTATTTATATCCAGCGTTTTTAAAAAGTAAAAATATTTCGAAATTTCTTATAAAAACTATTATATAGTTTTTCTATTTTGTTTACTGAAGAACCACTGCAATGTATAATACAGTGTGATCACGATAAGTGGAAACACTCAAACTATGTGCAGGCTTCATAGTTCATACATTTCAATTCTGATATTTTGGCTAACTAATAAACATATTTATACACATTTTCAAATAAATAGACTATTTTTGTGACAGTAATTTTTTTTAAATGGCATGACCTATGTTTGACCACAAATAATTTTTTTGTGTATTTTTTATGAATTTCTGTGGTTGAATTTCTTTTCTACGTTAAAAAAATGACCGAGTTATAGTGATCTGATTTTATGTTATTTGCATGGTTATAACAGATTATAAAATAATGATAAATACGTAAAATAAAAATACTAACATTGATTTTTTTTATTCCTAAAAGTTGTATTTATCTAACAAATTGTTCAAACTGTGCACATGCAGAAATAATGTGTTCCTCTGTAATTTGACTACAACTGCAATTATTATGTTTTTCAAATCAAGAAGACGTAGGTAGGTGGATTGGCATACACAACCGTTTTCAAGTGACCCCAGGGGCGGATCCAGAGTTAGGAAACTGTGGGTCAGGAAATTTCAAGGGGCCACTTATTAAAACCAAATTAGAAATCTATACTTGTGTACTAGGTATATAAAACAAAAAAAAAGGTGCTCCGCTGTACAGTAGGTTACAAGTGGGTCTTTGTATAATGGATAGTATTAAATTTGAATTCAATGATATAATATCATTGTATAAGAAAACGATTCTGAGCGGAGACGGTATGTCAGTCTAGGTATAAGGCAAATTATTTTCTTATCTATCGTATTAAAAAAAATTTACCTATAATAAATTCCAAATTAATCATATCCCAATATCCATTAGGTACTTATAATGCGTTATACGTCAACAACAAACCCTGATACTATCATGTCCATACTCCATAATTATATAATAGTGTACTTTAGAAGTTTCAAGTACCCACGAATAATATTACACAATCACAAAAAAATAACTAAAATAGTTATTCTAGGTTTTTTTTTATGTAATTTTATCCAAAGTTGAACTTAAAATGACTATAAAAATAAACTGTGCTAATGTATTTTTTAGATTTTTTGGTAACAGAATTAACTACAATGGGGAAATCATGTTTTGAATTTTCAATCCTTAGATATAAAAGTTGAACATTTTATACATTTTTAACTAAAAAATAATTATTCAATTTTAAATTTGATAAATTTTGTCAAAATTCGATCTTTAAATGCTTATAAAAAAAATTGTGCAGCCTATGTATTTTTAATATTTTTCAACTGATATTGTAACAATATATCAGGAGCCTTATATTACTTTTTACACTTTTTGGCATTACAGATAAAACTTTATTGATATTTATAGAAAACAAAACTAAAAAAATTGAAAACAGAAAATGTCTGTAAACAGCTCAAAAAGAGTCAAAATATTTTTGCTGTATACCTAACCTGCTGTACATTAGGTTACAACTTACAAGTGGGGGTCGCTGTAATGGATGGTATTAAATTTGAATTTATAATTAATAATTATATATAGGTAATATCATTGTATAAGAAAAACAATTATTTTCAAAATTGTACATTGTATAGGAAATGCTAATATGAACATTCAGTGAAATTTTCATTTATCTACAGTTATTTGTTTTTGAATTACAACAAAATAAAGAAATCGCTACATGAGAAATCGAGTGAATATCCAATGTTGTAAAAATTTGAATTTCAAACGCTCATAAAAATTTAATTTAACTTTCCGGTAGAGATTTTTTTATTGATAAAGGTAGATAATCTTATAAGGAATCTTGTGTTTCATTTTCAAATCTTAGATTTAAAAAGAAAAGTTTTTACGAATTCTTAACTCAAAATAATTTGCTAATTTTCGTGATTTTTCCATATTTTGTCAATTTTTGAACTTTAAATGTTTATAAAAAAAAATTGTGACTAAGGATTTTTAATATTTTTCATCTGCCTTTGAAACAATATATTAGGAGCCTTCTGTTAAATTTTCAAGCTTTTGCAACCAACAAATAAAATTTTATTGATATTTTTAAAAAAAAAACTAAAAAAAAATGTCCCTAAACAGTTCAAAATAAATCAAAATATTTTGAAAATGTTATCGTGTATAGAAAATGCAAATATAAACAACCAGTGAAAATTTCATGTATATACGTTCATTTGTTTTAGAGTTACACCAATAACCAAAATCGATTTTTTGGAAAACAATTTTGCGTAAAAATTCCCGTTTTTCCTTAATTTTTATGTTGTTTTTCCCGGCGCTTGTGAAAACTACTGTGAAATTTTTACTTATGACCCCCCAAAGTACCAACTAGATTCACTTTCCTATCAGAAAAGCTACTGATGAAGAAAATCCAAGCACTTTTACTGTCCTAAAACGTGATGACAGACACAAAAAAAAATAAAAAAATATAAAAATATAAAAACACACATCATTGTAAAACCAATACATTCATCGCTCCGCTCAGAATCTAAAATGTATAGGTATTTCAAAAGTTAAAAAAATTAATTTAAAATTAAAACTTTCAAAGTTTGATTTGCTGATACCGACTTCCGACGTTTATTAAAAACTTTAAACGATCTCCGTCAGGTATAATAATTCTTCCCAAAATTGAAACAAATGCTCCTAAAAATAAATACAATTTAATTAAAAATCAAAAATATTATTATTATGTACCTATTTACTAACTTGTTTTTGTTTTTCAATTGGACGGATTTTTTTTTATATTCCCTTATGGTACTGACTACTGGTTCATTCGTGTCACTGTATCGATATGAATATTTGAAAGTTTCCTACGTTCATTATAAATCGACTTCCTTATTAAGTTTACGTCATTGCTTCCTATTACTTCATTATTCTCTATGGATGATACCTCTTTCCGTATTATTTTTCGCGGTCTTTCATGAATGTCATTACAAGCCTTGCGTTTACATAGGTATATTACGTAGGTACCTCTTGAATTGGAATTTTCACAGTTTCCGCCTGTTCATGTTTGTTTTGTTATTTATTTTTAGTATATTCTTCAATTGACTGCATGTTATAACCGTAGATGTACAATTTTTAATATAACACCGCCAAACCACATATATACCCACTAATATTGACTCTAAATTTTCTGTGTTTAAAATCGTCAAGTAATAAGCACTTGCCCCCTTTGTTACTTTCAATAATTTTAAAATCCATTATAAAAATTTAAGATATTAACGTTTTAACACTAAATTATAGACGTAGGTACACTAACCGATCGAGACCGACTAATAACGAGTGACAACTAAATACTTGATTATTGAAAAGTACATGATATTATCTTAAAATCTTATTTTTTCACGCACCCACAATTAATGTACGGTAATTTGTTATACAATGACCGATAAGCTGTGCGGTTTTTGGCTATCGACTTTTTTAGGGTCAAAATCAAAAGTGTGCGGTTTTTGGATGCAACCATTATTTATACATTATATATATAATACAATACAATTACTGAGATAAGTTTGAAAAAGATAAACTAAATAGGTAGACAAGTATTTCATAAATTGGATTAGTTATTTTAGTTTTTATTATTACGATTTTATTATTATTATATAATCTGTTATTCCCACGCAAATAACATAAAATCAGATTACTATAACTCGGCCATTTTTTAACTTGGAAAAGAAATTCAACCACTACCTAAAATTAATAAAAAAAATTCAAAAAATTAATTTGTGGTCAAAAATAGGTCATGCCATTAAAAAAAATAATAATGTGGGCATGCGCAAAATTAAGTGTCATAAAAATAGTCTAATTACCTAATTGAAATGTTTATTAGTTAGCCAAAAAAGCAGAAGGAATTGAAATATATGAAGCCTGCACATAGTTATTGAGTGTTTCCACTTATCGTGATCACACTGTAAAACTCTATAGTAATTTATCATGTAAATAAATTTATAATTTATATTAATATTATAGTTATAATTTAATATAAATAATTAATAAATTATTTTTGAAAAACATCAATAACAAAAGTTAAAATGAAATTATTAATGATCTAAAAATGTTACGTTCGGGTGCAAAGCCCTGGTTATTTATTCAAATTTCAAATACTAAAGAAAAATATAATATACTTAATAATTTGAGTTTTAAATACAATATAAATATATAAAAATACGTCACACATATTTTATAAATCGTTAAAATATATTATGATAGAAATATATTTTGTTTTAGTACGGGATTGACATTTCATATTTTCATTTCACTCTTTATACTGTGCTTAGGTCATATTAAACATTATTTAATAATTATTTAATTATTACCAATTACCACAATCTTCATTCTTCAGTAATGAATTTTCAATAATCCATCATAGACCTATTAACAAAATAAGTTAATAGGTCTATGCTGTCTATGCATTAATTATACCGACTTTTTATAATATTTTAAATTCATAGTTGAATACCAACCATTGAGCTATATAATAGGCTATTATTGTTCGATGATACCGATTACTGACTTAACTACATAATCACCGTGGTTATAATGTATACTTAATGTATACTTAATGTATATATTTTAGCCAAGACGTACATACCGATGTCTTAATATTCATTATTATTTATTAGTATGTAATATACAAATATATAATATATTACAATATTAGATCATATTATACTTTGTATAATATATAATTTACAAACTCTATTACCTATATTTTGTATGTAGGAACAGTGGCGGCACCAGATTTCTTTGTGTGGGTGGGCCAAGTTGGGGCCACTGATTTAAAGGGAGGGCCAGTGGCGAAACAAAATTTACTTTACGCCCTAAGCTATAGGGTGGTAACAACTTACAAATTACAGGATAATAAAAAAATTGGTCACTATATCGAATGTAACACCAGCTAATTTTTAAAACTTTAATAAGCCTCTTTCTCTTCGGTATGTTACTGAGTAAAGCCATTATAATATATCTACTAATTTGCAACACTTCTTGAGAAAAATATAACATACATTTTAAAAATCACGATATTATAATGACTTATACATTTTTATAAATTTTAAAATATTACCTATGGTGTAATTCTAAGCAAAAATACTTTGAAAGCATACCCCACCCTGGCCCACCACTGTTTAGGAATTCGCTAAACTAGACCGGTTTAAAATTATTTAATTATTCCACGTAAATGAACCATGTAAATATGGTCCAAACATCCAATATTGTCTAAACACCCCGGCGCATTATTTTTCACACCGAGGTCTCGCGAATTTCTAGATTTAAGATTACAATAACATATCAAATTGATAACGACATTATCATGACGGCGTTATCAAATTTTGAATTTCATAGAATATAAGGCTTGCGAATGTCGAGTAGGTAGCGTACAACTACTGTTTAATATTGAATATATTATTATAAAATTTAATGTGTAACGATTTTTAGATTCGTTGATTTTTGTAAGCTATGATATAAATTATTGCCTAGTATGATATTAATATATTGTCTAAGAATACTTAGCTTTTGATTTCAACAACAGAGTTATGCATTAATCATTAATTGTTTGTGCTCAGTAATTAGAGTGGCTTAGGTAACTGAAATAATTGATGTCGCATGAAATACTACCGATAAAATGCATTTACTGTTGTCAGAAAAACCTGGTAAGTATAAAAAAAATATTCAACTCACCTTTTTGTTTTGATATAATATGTTTTGTTTGATTATTAATTCCCTGGTAACTTATTATTTGTAATTTGGGCCATACTTACTTAAATTCCATTAGCTAGTATTTATTGGGGATAGCAAAAGTGCTGCTCAATACCCCTTAACGATACCTATTATTTAAACCCATAATGTGTGTTATGAATTATGATCAAATCATTCATTTGATAAGAGAAATATGTACCTACATTCTCATTAACTCGTACATAAATGTACAAGTATAATATTACAATATTAGTCATAAAATAGAAGATATTTGATTTAACTATTGATAGTTGAAAAATATCTATACAATTGATAGTAAATAAAAATTGTTGTCTGTTCTCTAGAATAAAATATACAACAACCTGTAATAATACAACTTTATATTTTGTTTTAGGTTTGGATTTTCAAGTTGTAATTCAAAATGAAGAAAGCTAGAATCTCTAATATTTTTTTAACTATACCATACTGAATAAATGTCAAAATGTCAAAGTACAATTCATAGTAAATAAAAATAGCTGTCTGTTCTCTAGAATAAAATATACAACAACCTGTGATAATACAACTTTATTTTTTGTTTTAGGTTTGGATTTTCAAGTTGCAATTCAAAATAAAGAAAGCTAGAATCTCTAATATTTTTTTAACTATGTCATACTGAATAAATGTCAAAATCTCATATTTTTTTCTCTGTTAAAATAATTTAAAATAAGAATTATTTTTATAAAAATTTTAAAAATTTTAACAATTTAAAATGTTTTGCTGGCCATATTTGAAAAGAAATATGATTTTTCGTATTATATTTTTACTACTTATTTCTATAGTTATTGTGTATAATTTAAATTTTCTAAGTAGTATTGACCAATTCTTAAATTCATCACAAAAACATTTAATTTCTTGTTACTTTGAAGAAAAACAAGATAATTCTTTACTTGAATTAAATCCTGAAGAAGTAACAAAGAATAGTATATTTTTTGTTGAAACATCATGTAACCATAAAAAAGGAATTAATTTGAGTCTGAGACAAGGCTGTGCTATAGAATCTGCAGCAAATTTAAATCCTAATTTAAATATATTTGTTTTATTTGTTGCTCCTAGTTTCATAAGCGATGAATCTGAAATTATTAATAGATTTAAAATGTATTCAAACGTTAATTTAAGGTACATAAATTTTGTAAAATATTCTCATAATACTCCATTACAAGACTTTGTGGCCTCAAACACCATATCCACAAGTCAATGGCCAGTTTCTCATACAAGTGACTTATTGAGATTCTTAACATTGTGGAAATTTGGAGGGACTTATTTGGACCTAGATGTAGTTCTAATGAAGTGAATATCTTATTTTGTTGTCTGTATATTATAAAGAATTTAATTATTTATTTATTGATTAGATCTTTGGAGGGCCTATCAAATTTTGCAAGTATTGAATCAAACACATCAGTTGCCTCACTTGTATTGAACTTTGATGTCGATGAAATTGGAAGAACAGTTTCAAATACTTCAATCAATGATTTTGCTTCTAATTATCAAGCAAATGATTGGGGGTATAATGGTCCTGGTGTTATTACCAGAACACTTGAAAAAATCTGTAATACAAATCTGGTAAGTAAAAAAAAAACATTTATACATTCATAAACCATAAACCATTATTTGATATCATAATTTAAAACTAGTTTTGGCACCTATAAGCTATATTTTATACTTATATAGTTTCTCTAACTTACTAAAAATAAGATATACTTACCAGTTACTATACCTACTAACTTGAAATTGTTTTTCACTGAGTACAATATGTTTGTGGTATTATATATTTGTTCATTTTATATTATGTCCTATTCAAATTGTAATTACTTTGAACAAGAACTTTTTTATTCTGTACAAATTAATTTTGCTTGAATGATAAAAATTGTAGAATACAGTTCCTTGATATAGTTTTACCATTTCAAATTGTCAGTAGGAGCAATTTGAGATTTTTAATTAGAGATTTGGGGAAGGGAAAGATCATTGAGGGGAGCTAAAACTTTTTCAACTCAAGCAATACAAATTAATATTCTATGGCCTTTATTAAAAAAATGTCACAATCAATATTACACTCGTAAAAATTAGGCAGTGGGAATGGGAAAATTAGATTAAAATAATAAATTAGGCTGACGTTGACCGTCTATCAAATTTGGCGAGCGATATATGCCATGCAGGTGCCTGTAACTGTATAGTAGTAATAGTGACTTCAGCTCAGTACCGCAATTACTGCTCGTTACGCCCCGGCACCAGCCCATATGATTTTTTTGTCAAAATATATGTTTACAACAAGTATGGTTGTTACGAGTTATTGGCTATAACGAGTAAAATATATCAAATTATAAAATAAATGTTCAGTTATAACGAGCCAGTCATCATCTTTTTCCCATTACTTTGTATCTAAGTTAAGTGTTATATTTTATTTATTTATTGATATATACATTTTAACTTTAATTTTAAAGCACAGCATAGGTATTGGCAATATCTCAAGTGAGTCATCAGTAGTTAATACTGAATTGTGTTTTGATTGTCTCACAAATGCCATCCCTCCGAGCCTGTTACTATGATGATTGACCGGTTACAACAAACGCTCGTTATGATGTATATAAAGAGCTACCAGTTACAATGAGGAAAACTAGCTGGCCCTTCAAACTCGTTATAACCAATTTCTATTGTATATTATATTAAATAACATGTTTATTTTTGTTTATAATCATGCTGTTGATTAGGAAAATGCCAAGCCCCCTAGCCCTTCTGCCCTGAAATTGTGCTCATGGTGCATCGTTTCTACAATCAATTAACATTATACACTAAGAACAAATAAGATAAACATATTTAGTTATAAATTACTTTATAGTGTTGAGTGTCAATACCTTTTATTATGAGCCTAATATGTGACTGGTTATACCGTCTATGCAACAGTTGATTAGGATATGCTGTTTTAAGCTGTTATGTTAGATGTCTAAAATAGTCTACATTAAATTTTATTTTATTTACTAATTTCTAGAGGTGTTTGGATATCAGTTTCATTAATTCCTTATTTTAATGATAAATTGATAACATTTGTGTTTATTCATAATATATTTAGACTAAAGAAATTTACACCAAATAGTATTGACTGTAAAATAAAATATTTATAATTAAGATTTAAATTATATTGTTTAACTTGGATACAATTTTTATTTTTATAGGTAACTGATATGAATAAGCAAAAGTGTAAAGGATTTATGGTTTTTGGGACAGAAGCATTTTGTCCAATAAGTTGGACTGATTGGAGGCTATACTTTGATACCAACACTAGTGATGAAGTAATGGTTAAACTTAAAGATAGTATTGGTATTCATGTATGGAATTTACATAGTAAACACACAGCTATTAATATAGGTTCAAAACAACCATATGGTTTAGTTGCAGAAAAATATTGTCCAATTATTTTTTCTATGGCAAAGTCTGTATTTTAATTAATCATAAGAAGTTGCTAAACAAAAGAAAGCCCAGAATTGTCTAATTTTTTCTTATAGCAAACTTTGTGTTATAATTAATTTTAGGCAAAAATTGAACAAAACAAAACCCAGATCTAACCAGTTATTTTATCTTGGATATCCTGTATTTACTATATGAACTATATAATATATTCAACACCGGGCGTTCAACGAAAACACGTTATGTTCGCGCATGGCTCCCCACCACTGATACACAGCTATGGCGACAGCAATAATGACACAGTACACGTCGGCGTACAGTTCGTAAATGATCATACGTACGATCGTTTCCGAACAATCAATCATAGTGATCCGGCAACATATGGCAGTCAGTAGCATTTGTGCAAACCAGTGTACTCTTAACTTGAAGAGAGTATAATGTGAAGCAGTAATTGAACAAAAATGAATCCATAATCTCTTAATTTTAATTTTTATATTAGGCCATTAAGACTTAATGAACAAAACTTCACATAAACATGAAAACATTATTTTTAATTTTAATGTTATTAATGCTATCTATATAAATTGAAAATCGAGTGCAATGTCTTGATTCTCTAAATAAAAAATGTATATTTTATGTTCTATTTTTGCCTTAAACTACTTAAATCTCAACATATATTTTACTATAAATACTATAAGATTGAAAATTGTTCTTAGTTTGGTATTTTAACCAATAATTATAATGTCTCTTTGATTTTTTCCTGGATCTTTAAAACAGGGTGTTCTAGAATATAATAAAAAATTCTCTTACTTTTTAGGTATTTGAAGAAATCTAGATACCTATCATTTCCAACTAATTCAATAATTAAAAGTTAATCTAGTATTCCAAACACCATATTCAGTCAAAATTAATACATTTTAAGGATTATGGAGTGTTTTTATTTTAATAATATGTATATTTTTGAGTATATATTGTATCAATATATTATAATACATACTCAGTACATAGGTTGGCTGGAACATATCCCAAGATTTTTATATATTGAGTAATAAATATTCAATTTATACTGACGACAAAGTCAAGTCAAAATGTTTGTTTTAACATAAAAATGTTTTTGGGCTGGGTACGGATATTTTTATTTTCTTACCAATTTTGCTTTTATTGCCATAGAAACTATTAAAATGTAAAAATTTTCCAATTTCCACTAAGTATATATTCAATTGATGGCTACTTATTAATACATATTTATGATCATGGACAAGTATAATAAACCTATTTATAATTCATATATTTTCTTAGAAGTGGAAAATATTGAGTAGTTTTTTAGTACAGTATTGTCATTGTTTCTCTACATAGTGTTTCTACTCCTAGCTTGAATGTATGTATTCCATTAGATGTCTTTGAGTGCATCAATAAAAATGTGTGAGATGCATAAAATGAAAACCATTAAGGTTTGATTATGAAAAATAATGATAGCATCAATTAAATCATATTAGTTGTTACCACAGACTAAGATATAAAGTACAGGTATCGAAAACATTATCAGTGATCCCCAAATTTTTCTAGAGGCACATCTATAGTAATGAGTGCCATCTAAGTTAATTAGTTAAGTCACTTAAGGGCCAGTTGTACGTTGTACCGTCTATGATTATGATTAATCAGAGTTTAATCGGCCGAATTCGCCCGTTTAAATATCTGTTATCAGCTGATTAAGCTTAATCATAGTTTAGTCATAGACGGTACAACTGATAACACATGAACAAAATATACTAGCCACTAGGACTAGTTTACTAAAAGTACAATTTCAATAATTAAAATATATTAATATTTGAAAAATAATTATTTTAGTATGTTGCAAAAGACCCGATCAGTGCTAGTAACTACACCTGTACCATTAAGAAACATTTGAAGACCAGAGTACTACTACCTCCGGTCTTGTCGATTATGGTCCTGCACTTAGTTCGTGGATGTTACTATTATTATTTCGTATTTGCCATTATACGTGGTAGCTATTTATAAGAAACTATTGATAATTTCCACCTTTGTGAGGAAAATATTTTAAATTAGCAACAATTTTTATTTTCCAACGTAACAGCAATAACCAAATATTCCATGTTGGAAATTAAAATAATTATCTGATCATAAAATATTCATTGTTCATTTATAATCAATCTATTATTCTATATTAACATTCATATGTTAAAAATTACTACATAAGCACAATAAGTTGAAATGTAGGGATAATTTGATCTTACATTAAACAAATATATTATAAGATTGATACACATTAAAATTGAAAATATTATGATTAATTCTCTAGTTATTTTGCCTTGGATGTGTATAATCTTGTAAATTCTGTCAGATTTATTACATTTTTTTGTTGGACAAATTATCAACAATCTTATTGCTCAATTGTGGTAATATTGTAATGTATTTTGTAAAACATTGTGACGTACATCCTTCTGCTTCTTTTATATATTTATTCAACTAAAAACAATAAATAGCCTATTAAATATTATATTAAGATAAATAGTTTATAAGTACATTTTATTAACCAAGTGTTATTATATTTTTAATAAAAAGTTTAAAAATAAGTAAAACAAATTTTTTGCTCTATAAAAATGTGGAAAATATTTTATGTGTATGGACTCTTAATATCTTAATATTTTAAAATATAATTTTATAGGGCTTGCCTTAAACATGATATTTTATTTTACCTTATCTATATAATATATCAAATATAAGATCATTTGCTAGAGCTAAAGGAATATGAAAAGTAATAACATAGTATGTACATTGTACATAATAAATATGTATACAAATGTATTATATTTTGTTATATGATATTAATCATATATGAAATTGTAAGATATTATTAGATTAACATGAACAAAAAAAACATTTAAATTCACCATTTTGAAAACAAATATATATAGCTTAAGTTTAAAACTAAGAATTTTATTAAATGTTGTAAAATATTTGAATAAATAGAACAATAATAAAAGTGAAAATTCAGTTTAAAGGTAAATACATTTTAAATTAATATATGTATTTTATAAACATAACATTTATTTAGGGCCAGTTGCACCGTCTCGATTAAAGTTAATCACAGTTTAATCAGCCAGGTTAAATATCTGTTATCAGCTGATTAAGCTTAATCATAGTTAATTGTAGACGGTACAACTGGCCCTTAATGATTCAAACTTAACTATATGAGTTTTACAAACCTCATTTTCACTCCGATTTCTCTCACTGGGCATTTTGTCCATAGCAGCATCACCGCAATCTTGAACACAACGTTGTATTCTATGCTGAAATAAAAATAAACATATATCATTATTAAAAATCCTACAAACTATTATGAAGATTCAATGGTAAAATGCTATTCTAGTATTCGTTTTGAAAATTGAAAGATAAGAAGACAAAAAAAAAGCTAAATACACTAATACAATCAAATTAAGTTATTGCTATCATTGGTGCTTTACCGTGTGACTGTTTTATTATTGAACACTCATTAATATAAAAAGTATAAACATTTTTACATTGTTGCTAGTTGCTAAAATACAAATTTATTTTTAAAAAATATATATTTTTAAGTTTTTACTTTATGAATGACAACATACAGTTTTATTCCAAAGCAAAATATTTTTCTAAGTATTTCGATTTTAAAAATCAAATTTAGGATGAGTAGATTATGAGTTATAGGTATTTAAGTTTTAAATGAAGAGAATGGAGTGATATGTGGTTACCCCGCAAAATTTTAGACCACACTCAGCTCATCTAAACTTTTAACTACTTATAGTATCTTCAGAAACTTAATTTAAATTAATTTTGAGGTATAAAAATACTCAGAAAATATTATGCTTTCAATGATGAAATTAAAAACTGTATAATTAAAAAAATTATAAGGATAAAAAATATAATTTTTTAATAAAACCATTTTGAAACAACTTGAAACTATGTAAAAAACAATGAATACTTTTTGAATGATGGGTGTTGTATGTTAAATTAATCACCTGGCTGGTATATTATAAAATACAAAATCAATGTCATTGATCAAAAATAATAAAAATAGAATACACTGAAAATAATATTAGTAAACAAAAATTTGACATAAATTAATAATGCAGTCAAATTACAAATTACCTGCCACTTGTTAAATTCATTTTGAACATAGTTACGAGCAGCTGTTCTTCCTTGCACAATTTTCATTACACACTTCCACTGATTCAATGTTTTTTGAAGGGTCCCTACAACATTCAATAGCGCATTGATGCATCTGAATCTGTGGAAATAAATATTGTAAAAATAATTATAATTATAATTTTTTAATATTATCATATATGGATCCAATTTATAATGTATACAGTTTTGGATTTTAATATTAAAATTTGTAATGTAAATCGAAATATTAACATAGAAAAAACTGTTTTACGCTGGAAAGAACCGAGAAGGCTACAGTCACATCTAAGAAACAATATATTTACCACATAAAAAGGAGAACTTTGGCTGTGCAACGTTGTTCTTATTTTTTTAATATCATACATATGAAAAAAGTTTTTCAAGTTTGAAAAATACAAACAATAATGGTCTTTAAAACACTAAGAACTATACTCATATAAGTGATATCAGAAAAATAAATAGGCACAGGCAAATTTCTGTTTTATGTGGTGAAAATCTCATTCCTTAGTTATGACTGTAGCCTTCTCGGTTTCTTCAGCAAAACAGTTTTTGCTATGTTGTATATTTGTAAGACGGAGACAACACTTTCGGGTGTAGAGTCTTCTTAATATTATAGTTTTTCAATATCATTAATACAAACAACAATATAATAATATTACAATACAATATGTTATTGTGAAAGACCGCCATGGTAGTGTGTGGTCATTAACCAGTAAATGAAATCTGAAAATATTACTGTTAAATGCATGAAAGAAATGTGTAAAATAATCATAATAGATAAAACAACTTGTTGACTGCCAACACTAAAAAAGTGTGTAGTTAAGATAATTCACAATCCAAAATTGTAGATTATGTATGATCATCAAAAACTGGTACTTTTAGTAAATTATATAATATTAGCATTTAGTATGCAAAGAAAAGTGGCATTTGGGGACTGCCGCGATAAAGCTATTGCATATTAAATAAATAAGAAGTTGATATAGTTTTTAATTTTTTTATTATTCTATTTATTCAGGAATTTGTATCATAGAAACTATAGTTTATGTTTTTATTGCTATAATATATTATATTTTACAAAACCATTATATTTATAAGCGCTTGATCTCATAGTCGTTGTTATTTAAAAATAAATAACTGTTATCAAAATTAAATTATAATTTAGCTATGCGTTGTTATGGTCACCAGGTTGCTATAGTATGTATAAATAAACAAAGTGGTCACGCTTTTTCGTTACGAAAAATTTTTTTTCAGTCACTACACCAGACCTGCGATAAAAGCTATGCAATAGCTTAAAAGCTTTCACATACCACATTTAAATGCAATTAGTTTAATGCGCATTAGTTAATTTGATTTCATCTATCATGTTAAATAATTATTGAATATTAAGCCTAATGCAAATGAAAAAAGATTTAACTCCCAATTAAATGAATCTTCTTATATTCACTAACATTAAATATAACCAGTGGCGGATCTAGATTCTGTCTTACGAGAGAACATGCCGGTTGTCCGTATTCACCTGTGTCACACTGCTATCAAAATCGGTTCACCTATGGTAGAATATTGTGTTATGTGTCCGATATTGGTCAAACCGCCACATGTTCTCTTGTGGGACGGAGTATAGGATTTTTTTATGATCGGTGCTCTGTTGATAATAAAGCTCCTTAGGTACCTACTTTTCATGAACAACTTCAGGGTAAAAACAAAAATCAACCTATTTTTTGACAGTAGGTACAACATGTGGTCTACAATGCATACATTTAGTTCTACATGATAACTGATATCTAAGTTTTAATTTATAATTAAAAAAAAAAATTTTACTTGCAACGTCCTTAAGCATTTTCTATCAATATCATTTAAAACATCATATACTGCACTCTGCATACGACGTTGTTCTTCTTCCATTGTAGAACTCTAAAAAGTGAAACAAATATAAATAATATTACCAATGACTTATGTATTTTTATTACATATTTTAAATGTATACGCTAAATTATAATTTATTTCATTAGGAACAATTTAAGTTGTAAACCATTAATAATAGGTACCTTACCTATTATTCATTATTTCAAATAATTAATAAATGTCTCAAAATGTATTTCTTCTAGGTATGTAATTCTAAGTATTAGTATTTGCTATTCATTTGTTTATTTCCACAGCATTCTTATATAATATATAAATTTATTTATGTATTTACATATTATATTATTATATTTTATAATTTAAGCCAGGGTATGAGAGTCAGAGGCGGTTTGAGTAGTTAATCATATAAAATACTAGTGCCATGCCCCAGTCAAAGTTTTACGGTGGATGGTCCACATATGGTCACTCAGTATATTGAAAGTATTGAAGTACAAAAATAATAAGAATGTATTACATTATATAGCATTCAAGTCATAATATTAGTTGAATACATTTACAGTAAGTAATTAGTTAAGTAGATATTCTACTACATAATATTTATATTTTATTGCATACGTTTAAAATCCTTATTAATGGTTATTTTAAAATTTGGATGATAGAAATTGTATTTTACATAATGTTTTGAATATAGTTATTATTTTATAAATCTACGGCAAATAAAAGAAGTGGATTCTGCTTAATGTGGCATGTCGGGACTAGATCCATTTGCCAGCAATAAGCGATTGGTGTTTGCCTATTTAAACCGAAATAAATATTTTATAATTTAAAATGTTATAAAACATAATACAACAATAGCACTTAAAGCTTAAAATGAACAATTCAAATATTTAATTTTGTATTTAACAGAACAGTGTATAGGTACTATAGTAGATTATTATGTAGTTAAAAAGATATCATTTTGAGGTTTCTAAACAGAAACGTACACGTAAAAGCCATAAACCAAGTAGGTAAGAAATGGACGTTTTTAACTTACGCAGATGGTTCAACAAATCAGTCACAGAAAAGCCTCCACAGCACAGGTATCGAAAAGAAAATCTAGTCAAGGACAAGCATAAATAATATTAAATACGATAGACTGGCAGAGGATTACACCAAAGACAAGTATACTATGTAGACCGGCCGGCAAATAAATGATCGGTTTCTCGACAGTTTTTACATGCCTATGCCATAGATATGAATTATTAAAGAAAAGATAGGCCATTTGTGCTTATCATACAGGAACGGACATTTTTTTGTGGTTATAGAGGTCTTAACACAAATATAATTATTGTATATAACTTATGATAAGCCCATCTGCTGGAATGAGAGGCAATGATAAGAAAAACAGTCTTTCTCTCTTCCCCATTCCGGCAAACTTCCCTCTATTTCATTAATATAGCCATGGCCCATGGGCTAAACATTCTTCAATATCTATGGTCTATGCTCGATACCACGGACTACATTAATTGCGCCTTCGGTAATGCACCACTGTGGATACCTATAACGAAGACCGTGGTATTGCCGGTGCCGGAGCTAGGGGAGGAAAAATGGGACATATCACATTATGTGGCGCACACTCAAAAATAAATAGGGGTAGCAAATTGATTCGGTTACCTCTATATTGGCTAATATACTAATGGCTATAGCCTATAATTATTCAATAGTTTATTTTCAATATTTTTATACGTAATAGAATTTTCATGATGTAAATATTTTGGAGCCAGGAGGTCCACCCACCCACCTACCAAAAAAATCAGGGGTAGCAACTGCTACCCTTGAACCCACCAGTGTGCGCCACGTATATGTGATTCACATATATCCAGGGTCCTGCGCTTTCTAAAGGGCCCCGCGATTTTTAACTATTTTTTTTTTTATTCTTCGAGAAGATAATGGGCCCCACTGAACATGTCCGTCATATTCGTCACTATCATCTTAATACCTCGAAACACATTGACTTTTAGTATTAACAAATTATAAATCTATACATTAATTGTTCTATACTACACATGTATAATATATTAATATTAATATTATTCCTATCATCAGTTATTTGGAAAATGATAACTAAACTTAGGCATAGTACAAAGTAAATCGTTATCGACACGACAAAGGAGTAATATTTTGAAGATACTCGAGGAGAGGATAGTATTTTTTCAACAATTTCTGCATAATATCAAAAAAGTAAGTTTTCATTTCATGAAATTATTATTACAATGTAGTTTAGGTACAGTATAGCAGCTAGCCGTATTAAATAATATGTACCTACTGCGTGTATCAGCGTCTATCAGGATTAGTTTTAAGGTATTTTATTGTCTACCGCCACCACGTTCTTAGATATTAAACAATTTATTACCTAGGTATCATTCAAACATTTTGATGATTTTATTTATTTTAGATTCTGAGTGAAACGATGAATGTATTGATTTTACAATGATGTGTGTTTTAGATTCTGAGTGGAACGATGAATGTATTGATTTTACAATGATGCGTGTTTTTATTTTTAAATTTTTAAATTTATTTTTGTGTCTGTCATCACGGTTTGGGGCAGTAAAACTGCTTCGATTTTCTTCAACAGTATCTTATTCGATGGGAAAGTGAATCTAGTTGATGCGTTCGGAAGGTTAAATTTTCAAATTCCCAATAGTTTTCACGAGCGCCTGAAAAAACAACATAAAAATTAAGGAAAAACGTAAATTTTTACTCAAAATCAGTTTTCCAAAAAATCGATTTTGGTTTTTGGTCTAACTCTAAAACAAATGAATAAGTTCATGACATTAACACTGGTTTTTTATATTTACATTTTCTTTACACGATAAAATTTTCAAAATATTATGATTTGTTTTGAACTATTTAGGAATATTTTCATTTTACATTTTTTTAGTTTTTTTCTAGAAATATCAATAAAATGTTATTTAATGGTTAAAAAAGCTTGAAAATTTAATAGAAGGCTCCTAGTATATTGTTTCAAAGGTAGATGAAAAATATTAAAAATCCTTTGTCACAGTTTTTTTTTATAAGCGTTTAAAGTTCAAAAATTGACAAAATATGGAAAAATCACGAAAAATAGCAAATTATTTTCAGTTAAGAATTCGTAAAAATTTTTCTTTTTAAACCTAAGATAAGAAAATGTA